ACAACTATACTCGTTTGTTCCAGTGCTTCATATTGAATCTCACAGTCTTACCCGTCATCGCTCCATGCCGATTATCGATTATATTTTCTGAATCGGTAGAGGGACATATCGACTACTAGCTTGGGAACCTGCCTCTACCTGTTCGAACTGTTTACTACTAGGATAAAATATGATCTCAAAGCTTGAGAATGTTCATGATATATCACTCATGGGGTATGTTGCAGTGATTGTTGCATATATGGGTTTCGTCTACTGTTTCCGACCTTGTATGAGGTTCAGGCTTGTATGAGGTTCAGGCTTGTATGAGGTTCGTGGCTTACATACGATGCGTAAGCACGAGAGTTTCAGACTCTGTGTCAAGCCGTATATAGACCATAGATATCTGCATAGATTGTATAGAGAATCAAGCAACTATTCAACAGTGATATTGCATAAATAGACCTGACCGATGATGGAGCTGACTGTAAGCCGTAGGGCATAAGGCACACCACTATCTTGTATATAGTTCGAGTCTTTCTCCTTCTCTCTTCTCTCTTCTCTCTTCTCTCAAGGCGAACTTGAAAACGAAGCAGAAAAACGAAGCAGAAACGGTGTCAGCAAGGTTGCCGCTTCGGGGGAGTGGAGGCCGCCGGTGCGGCCGCCACTCCTCCTGGACTCTCCCATTCCTAGCCAAAAGCCTTTCACTGGGTGTAGAGTCGGGACTAAATAGAACTAAAACAGTGGTGCGGGTGGGTGGGTTGATGCTGAAGCCGCTGCTTGCCTGCCCACTGCCACTCCGCTCCCTCCCAGAGCCTCCCTATATACTACTTTCCTTTGCTCCAGACTTCCTCTGCTTGGGTGCGGGCTCATGAAGAATCGTTGCAAAGCGGGACGAATTGACACACCAATGTATGTACTTTTCGTATGAATTCTTTCCCAGATTTGTAGTATGCGGTATAGTGCAATGATCGGCGCTATTGCTCACACTACCTTGGGTTGACTGTGTTTGACGATGTAGTACGTTACTTGAACCTTGGCTAGCTGATGGTGTCGTACCGGAATTGGTGGTGCTGGTCCGAGAGGGGACTGTGGGAGCAGTGTTCGCAACCGTCCCGTCCGTCCGGGATTGGTCAGGACGGGGACGGACGGCAAGAATCCGTCCGCCCGAGAGCAGGACGGAGACGGCGCCGTCTTTTCGAGGCTGGACGGAGACGGACGGAAAGGACGGCCGTCGACGAAGAAGTCTTAGCGCACATAACAAAAATTATAAGAAAATCATTTCAATTACTATTCTGACCGTGATGCAAGATCTGTGAGCATCTGCTCCATCCATACTATTTCTGACTCTGTTTCTCCAAAGATTACACCCTCTGCACCCAGGATTTCATACATTCCGAAGCCTGTATAACATTATCGGGCTTGATTAGGTTTAGTCTAAAGATATACAGTAACCGCCCGATGACGGTGGATGACGGCCGTCGGACGGGACGGTTGAGAACACTGTGTGGGAGCGCAGGTGTTGACGGTAAGTTGACTAGACGTCATTAACTCAAGGTTTAGCCCTGAGGCTCTCAATGGCAGAACCTTCTCACGATCTTAAGGTTCACACAGTCGGCGAAAGTAACCGCCTAGAACCTTCTCTCAATCTCAAGGTTCTCACAGTCTGCTTGGTGTCGGCGAAAGCTGCTTGGTAAAAGTTTGTTTTAGATCATATATATGCATGCACTTTGGACCTGTATCTAGTGAACCAAATTCAGCGAGCAGGTCTCAACAGTTCCTTCCTTTCTTAATCTCAACAGTGGGGGAGCAAGTAGTTAGGGTCAGGTGCATATATATAGACTTGACACGAGCTGACTGTAAGCCGGTTCACAAGGCATACTACTCTCCTGTATATATCTCGAGTCTTTTCCTTCTCTCTCTCTACACTCTGTACCTTGTATATATCTCGAGTCTTTCTCCTTCTCTCTTCTCTTTGTAATTAAGTCTATACACACGGTTCTCCCCTATCATCACCGCGACATGAACGTGCACTGAGTTGCCGAGTAATACCACATGATATATGTTCCGTACGACTGACGAACCACGCTGGTTCGCGAAGTTAGGCCCATTCGCGAACTTGTGGAAAGTTCGCAAACCGGATTGCCAATAGATGAACTCATTAAGGTATAAGGCGAACTGAATCGGAGTTAATCCACACTCATACCATCAGAGGTGCTGGCGAACGCAAGTTCTGCTGCACTCAGACTTTTGTCTTCCCTAGTTAAAAGTGAACTTGCTGTTGGAAATCTGCTCGTTCGCCCCCAGTATCGCCTGGTAAATTGGAGGTGATCAATTTAGTCTTATGTAGAGAGACCAATAGACAAAGGAAACAGTATCACTTTTAAACTTTCTCACAGTGCTTACTACCATTTTCAATACTTATGAGTGACAAGATCTGGAAACATAGCACATTTAGAGAAGGATTTGCCAGAAACATGTGTTAGATTCGCTAAAAATGGCCAGTTCGTGAACTTTTCTGTGGTTCGCAAACTGGACAAGAGGTTTGTGAATAGGGCAAAATTTGCGCGAACCAGCCTTTATCAGTTCGCGAATTGGCAGGTTCATCAATCGTACGGAACATATATTTGGTGACGCATTGTGTTCATGGTTCGACAATACCACATCAAGACTATCTGACACTATAGAGTGCCACTAAATACATTTCTGTCATTCGGCGAGGAGGAAAATGTTCTATTGATTGCCGTGCTACTATATTTTTGCCGATATTGCATCACCACTTTAATTATATGTATGATGTAACACCAGGCAGTTACGCTGGCAATCAAGACCATAGACTTCATCCAGTTGGCTTAGTCTCAAAAACATGTTGCATTGTCTGGGGAATGAGACTGCAAAATTGATGGTTCTTGCTCATCATAGACAGAGTCTCTACAAGGGATTAACTTGCATTCTCTCTCCATCTTCGTTACCCAGAGTCCCGAATATGAAGAGAGTGAAATCTTTTCCGTAAATTGCATCCTTAACACGCCGGATCCACATAAATGCATATTCCTACGGTGTGGATCATAAATTGTCACTCCCGATTGACGAGCTATCTGTACCTTGGGTCTAGTAATATCGCTACTCTTCTCAACATGTAGAAGTATATAGGGCGTATTCGTTCTGGTAACTCTTATTTATGAGGACACAAATCTCTTCAGCTTGAATTTTTGCCCGATAGTAAGTACTCGAGTGTTGCACACGTACTTGTACGAAAGCCAGATATTAGCCCTACTCCATTCTGAGGAGGACAGCAATGATTACGGGCTTATCATTGAAGTGTTGATCTTCAGCCTTTCTCCACAGTCTCGATCGTCTGCCTCTCTGGACAACTTCTGGCTCCCTTCAGCTGATTGTAAGACTGGCAATATGAACTTTCTTTATGATCATCTACAAGGACCTCTCCCAGAAATGGCAGAATGTGCCCCAATGGCGAGAATTAACCCTGGCGGCGGTAATGAAGATTTCATCAAACGCGAACCGGAACGTCTTAGATATTCTATCAATTCATTTTCTGGCTCGAATTTTGCGAGAGCAAAAACTCGCCGTCAGGCTGTATAATTATATACAATGTAGTTTGGTTCTCACACCATGTTTCCTTGTTGATACTCGTGCTTTCCAAATTCACTGTTTATTATTAACTGTAGATTAAGACGTGACACGAGTTAGGAACGTCAAAATGGACAAAATAGATTAGAAAACGATAATTTAACCTTTGATTCTACTCCACCGGCTCACCTCAGGCACGGGCCGGCTAACTGTAAAAACCACCACGGGTTCCAGTACATGCCTCTGGATCCAACTTCATCGGAGCCGAAGATGTGTTTTTTGGGTGATGAGTGCTCTCTGACCCACCACTAATCAATGTCGCCCTGGAATTCAATGATCCACCACTGTCTTGCTTATCGGCCTAACCATTCAAACCCGATCATACTCACAGCTCCTCCCCTGATGTTTGCAGTAGCCAAAGTTCCCTTGAATCCACCTCTGATCTTTGTAGACGCTTGTGGTAAAATAATCCACCACACTTTCCCTTGGCCGTTTGGGTTTTGATGCTTCGCTGAAGCTCCCATTGACCCTGCTCTCCGTAGTACTGTATATATAAGGGGTGCATGGCATTCTGCTTGATTGACCGCCGCTCTACGAAGCACCGCTCGATAATCTGCTGCTAGGTCATCTGCCGCCTGTTTAGTCTCCGCTTGCTGAGCCTACTCAACCGATGTATGTGTGTATTTGAATATCTGATAGGCATGCCGAGTTACTTGAGTACTTATGATGTTGACACGACGTGCATAAGTACTCATGTATTCCGTACTCCGCGCTATAACCGGCTATGTAGCCGGCCCTGTAGCCTCGGAATGTAGTTTTACCTGAAGCCATCGGCCTAATAAAATGTTTTATGAGGTCACTGACGTACTGAGCCACCGAGTAGACTCATATTCGTAGTGGGCTCATACTCGTAGACTCATGCATGATTGCTCACTCACCACTCGCACTTCGAACTCCGAACACTACCATCTCCGAGGAATCTCCGCGGAGGCTCAGGATTTTCACGGTTTTCACTGTACATATAAAGTATAGATTTCTCCCATAGATAGATGAATAGATCAGAGCTTCGTACGAGTTTCTCTTCCCTACCTGAATATCGTCTCAACATAGAGAATTAAATGTTAATAGAAACAGTGGTAAGCTAATTGTGATACTTCTCTAGCACTTGGTCCGATCCAATTGTCGGCAACTTTGGCAGTGGTTATCATTGTGCAGATTGTTATTTACAACTACAACGGGCGTCCCATTTTTCAAGAAGAACGACCAGAAATCATCTACCATCTACGGCCTGAGTTCCCCAGCAAGATCTATCACGTTATCGTACGGTATTTTCTTTTGGAAATGAGGGCAAATTTGATGGTTATTCGCCGGATCAAGAATACAAATATTTAATAAAAGCTGTAAACGTCAAGATAATCACAAAATATCAATCGGCTCGGATGGTCCAGTGGTATAATTCTCGCTTAGGGTGGCTCCCTGATTTTCAGTTGCCAGAGATTCCCGGTTCAAATCCCTGTTTATGTTCTGTGTTTCTTTTGCCTTTTTGTTCGCTCTGAACCGGGAATGATGAAATAAATTCCACTGATCGGGTAGGGAAATAGAAGTAAAACACCCATATCTAACTATGTAGTAACGACCATTATGGGGAATTATCAAGAATAGCACATGCATTATTGAAGGCAATATCCGATTCGGGTACTCCGAGTAGATATGGCAAAAGTTGTGGAGTGTTTCGAAATGTTAATTCCAAGATTCTTTATGCGGAAGGATCCCATAAGCTGTAAGTTCTAAATTGCGGGGTATGTGGAGTTGAAAGAGGCATATTCCGGCGCTAAATTGAGGCTAAACTAACTCTAATGCTCGGCCCGTACCGCTCTGTGTACTCGGATACCAGGATAAGTGATCGGCAAGATGCGATGCACAGTTTGGGTAAAACACAGCCTGAAAAACAACAGGAAAGTAACAGAACTGGTAAGAGTGAAGTGCACTGACTTTCATCTAATGTTCTCCCCTGGACAACCAGCCGAATTCATTACCAGAACAGGAACGTCCGATCACTTATCCTGGTTCCCGTGTACTCAGTAATCAACGGCAAATAAGCAGTTGAGTTGAAGACCGAGCCTCTAGGACAAGCTCCTCACCGCTTCTAGCCACACGGTAGTCCAGGCACGACAGGTTTGACAAGATTATCCAATTTACAGCAAAAGATGTGGCAACAGCCCAAGTTCAATCATGAATCATCACTCGATAGATCTTAAGGTAATTTGTTGGAATAATGAGGGGAGAACCGTGTGTGTAGATTAAGATACTAAGTGTAGTGAGAAAGAGAAGGAAAAGACTCGAGATATATACAAGAAAGTTGTGTGCCTTGTGCCCTACGGCTTACAGTCAACTCCGTCATCGGTCAGGTCTATTTATGCAACATAATTACTTCTGGGATAAGAAACGAACTCCGTGATAACCTGACGACTTTAAGGGATGCTGTTAGACAGTTCTTGCTGCTAAAATACAATCTAAAACACCGATTGTACTTGATCCTGTGGTCTTACCTATCTGGTTGATAACTTGATCTTACTGCCCCAGGAACTGCAACTTGAAATGCATTTTGAGCGTCTTTTGGAGTCCATTCTTGGCATGAGATTTCTCGGCTAGCCTAGCTCAGACGGTAATATGGATATCTAGATAGGGGTCCAACGGGAGATTGTCTGCAACGTTTTATCGATAGTTGAAGTTCGCGCTTGCGCCTCACGTCTGAAGCTGATGTTTCTGCTCTCCTGTCCAGTTATTGTGCGTTGCAACTACTCTCGGAAAGGATGTGATGAGAGATGGGAAGTAGTGGTCGAGTTCAACACTTACAGGTTCGCTCACGTTTGTTTCAATTCGATGAATATATATTGTATTTAAACCATCAAGCTTCAGCATTCGACTCGCCACGAATATAGAGCCGATGTGAAGCGTGTTCAGAATATCAGCTGAATCTTGTTGAGAGCAATGTAAATGATTGTCTACGTACAAAGTCTAAAGATCTAAGAAATAGACAAAACGGTCTACTTATATAGAGAGTAAAGAAACCATCAGCCAAGTGCCGTATGTCATACCCGGGCGAAGGTCGGAAGTGCTCGGGCCGGAAGTGCTCGGCCTGGAAATGCTCGGAACCTAAGCCATGGCTTGAGATCCGGAAGTGCTTGGAGCCGCTACCAGAGACATCACCGACTGACGTCAACTAATCCTGGGTTAAAATCTAAGTGACGTAAGTCAACTGCCGTCAACAAATATTTTTCCTTCTCTCTTCTCTCTGTATCCAAGTCTAAGCACACGGTTCTGATCACTGCAACATCGTGGATCTTTGCCGGTGGTTCTAAAAGCCTTTGCCGAATACCTAAATTGTCGTTCGATGGATATCTGCAGATGAGAGAGAGGTGAGAATAGACGATGCGTCGGAGGGCGAGAGTTTGACAGTGTTATTGAGTAGATTAGATTAGATGAGTCGGCTAGATCCAAACTTCCGAGCTAATGAGAGCAATTTCTTTTTCTTCTAATTCGTCATACGCACATCAACAGAGCATCTCTTAAGTGCTGCAAATCGTGCTGTTTAGTATGTGGTATGATAACGGTGCCTGTGCTGGCTTTGATGCTAGAACGGTTCTTAGAGTATGTCATTACGTGCCTTTGGGTTAGGGTTGGATAACGTGTAGTATAAGGCTACGTGTCATCTTAGACTTAGACAATCAACCGATTTACCGAGAGTCGGTTCACATTTGAATCCGTTCGTTATACACTCTCGTATGCGTAGTGGATTGTAGCTACAACACATTCTGATATCACGATCTTATCTGATGGTGTCTTTTGAGTGCGTAACCGAAACAAAGGAAACAACTGTGAGAGGTAGATAGCGGAGGTAAATTCGTACTTCTCTGCTTTGTATTGTGGGGGGGATTGTAGTTGGAATTGTTAGAATTTCAGGGACTATCCCGCCTGATGACGGTATTCCGTTCAATAGCTAATTAACTATTTCCGCCTGCACTCAACAAACATGCTCGTTATCGTTCAATGCAATAATAGTCCATCCGCGGAGCTCTGAGATAAGGTTTTCTCATGCCCATATATTCACGTGATGGAATTCGATTTTGCACTCATGCTAATCTGAGATTCTGAGGCTCTAGTGGCAGCAGCAGTGACGCGTGCGGCTCAAGCGGGCTACTGTCCCCTAAACTAGCTAGCTTGCGAAGTAATGGTTCTCGGCATCTTAGATATTCCATCAATTCACACTGCGCGATTTTCAGGTTCGAATCTTGCGAGAGCAAAAACTACGCCGTCAATGATATATAATGCAATTTGTTTCTCACACCACGTTTCCTTGTTACTCGTGCTTCCAAATTCACTGTTGATTTTTAACAATTGTAAATTAAGACATGACACGAGTAAGAAAAATCAAAATAGACAAAATAGATTGGAAAACGGTAATTTAACCGCTGATTCTACTCTTCCTCCTCCGGCTATTGCCCAGAATCAATGGAATTGAAGGACTCTAAATTCGAGACTCTATCTTAAACAGTTTCGCGTCCAGTACTGCTATCGACCCCTCCGACGTTGCTGAGCAGTGAGAAGTGTACCCAATTGCTCCGCAGGAGATGTGAAAGCCCTCATCCATCCCCATAACATTTTGATCCAATCCCATAACCTTTTGATCCAACCCCATACCATCGTATCTTCCCCACTTTCGTACTTTTTTCTGTAGACGACACCACCAACGAATAGCGTGAAAACCACAGTGGTTGGTCCCGCAGTCTTCCAAAACTGGCCATAGGTCTGAACATATCCTTTGCCAGGTTCCAATGCATAGTACTATTTATGAGGTACCTTAGATACCCGCTTAAAGGTAAAGATAAGAGGAACTTACCCCTGCTAAAAATGTTATAGGAAGAAAGATTGTGGTTACAATGGTGAACAGCGACATTGTCTGTCCGAGCATCCTTGCCTGTTCATTCGCACGATGTGCTTGTCGTTCGGCATTTCTTCCTTGTTCTTCCAGTGTCTCTGCATGCCGTTTGGCTTGGTTCATAGCAGCAATCATTGCCGCAGCACGCTCATTTGCAATTTGTGCTTCTTGGATCATGGCATCCGCATGCATTTGTGCTTGCTTTGCCTGAGACTCCGATGCACCTTCAGACATAAGATGCACTAGCTTCGGGTGAAATTAGCCGAGGTTTGAATATAATCATGCGTGGGAATTATACAACATACCAAGCGCAGAGTCTTCCTTCCGTTGTTCTTGAGGCTCTTGAATTTCTCCGCGTAAGTTTTTCTTTCCAAAAGCACAGTTTCGAAGGCTTCAGATATCAGCCGTAGGGTTACTTCTTTATGCAGGGGTGAGGCGAGTAGTCTTATAACATTTCGGTTATAGCAAGGATCATAAGGGTCCCAAAAGCAGCCCCGTGCAATTTCGTATAGCTTTTCAATTACGCTTATCTGTGAATCAATCAAATGGAGTATTGTAGACATGTCAGCCAATAGAGTATTCAGTTGCGCTTGAGTTTTCAGTTTTGCTTGAGTTTTCAGTTGTGCTTCAGTACTTTGACGATCTTCGGAAGTAGAGGCACCTCCTGCTGAAGACGTGCCGTTCTGCATAGCGGAGGTCGTGCTTTCAACGATAAAACGTTCGATTTCACCCTCCTACAATTGGTTCACCGTGTCAATTAATCATTACACTCTGTATGTGTATGAGATGGAAATACTGACGATATCAAAAAATCTGTGCCGGACGACACCGAACACTTTAGTTGCAGAGTGTCGCAGCAACGTGGAGATCATGTGTACCAATAAGTGGAACGAGCTGAATCTATGTTGATTCGGAAAGAATGGAAAATTACTCGAATGCTCCGAATCCGCGTCACTAGTTTTGAGTATTGCTATCATATCTATCCTTTCTGAGTGAAATGTTCTCCGCGTATGTCCATTACATCAGGAGATAATTACCGTCGTTGATACATACAAAGCATGTTTGATGGACATAAATCTGACGCACACCCTGGCTGTCAGTTGTTCCGGATGTTTTCCGGTAAGTGGCTAATGATATCCCATTGCCGTCCCCCTGTGAGCTTCCATAACTGAAATGTGGAATCGAGAAAAATAGTTTAAGATGTACAGGTGAGGCAACACCACGAAGGGAGAAGACAGGTTTGAAATCCGGGTTGTCGACAGAGGCAGGTAAATTTAATTTCCACTGTGCCTCGTTCGGGATGTCGTGTTCAGTATTTGCGTCCAGGAATTGTTGGTCAATCGTGTCGAGGAATTGACGGTATTCCAGGTGATGTTCCTGCTGCAACTCTCTAGATATCTGATCAGCTGTTACCCACTCTCTTAGCGGCATTTTGTGAACATACATGATTTGAACAGAAGATATTATATCGGGTTCGCTTAATCTCGGGGATATATGGTATTCAAACTCCTCAGTGATAGAGCTTGAACAGTACATACTCTTATCGGGCTCTCTTCGGGGCGTACATCTCCAATCGATGGTTCAT